TAAAATTAATAAGTGACTTCTGGGTATTTAAGCACGTGCTCATATCTTCGGAGAGATTAGTTTATATTGTATTTTAGTGTCTATAAATGCTCGGGCAAGTTCATTGCCTATCTGTATGCAGTTGCACTGTGTGTAGGCGGATTGCATGCAGATTGTAAAGGTAGCAGATCTGCTAGACAGAGATCTGTGTGTGTGTGTGGTGTCCCAACAGACCGTTCTGCGGATAAACTGTTTTCGTGGTGGCAAGCTACCATTTGTGGTGTGTCTGGTGTGGGGGTGTGTGGACAGTGGAAGAGTGTATAACACCGGGGTTGTAGCTTGTAGGATAGTTGGAGGAATCCTAGAAGGGTGTGTGAATGCTGGGCCGCTCCTCAACCCTAATTAGTGAACCAGATTGTATGTAAGATTTGTATGTGCCAGTGTGTAGTCAGCCGCCTGGATTGGAGTGGAGTCTCCCTCTAGTGGTGGCCAAGAGGTAGTGCGGGCTGTGAAAGTATATCATGGCCGGTTTTATATATTAGAAGTTAAGTCCCCCTTATTCCCTCTTACCCCAAGTCAGGGCCACACGTGCGCGCCTCGGTTAGCTAGTCGCTGTGGGAGTGGCATGTGGATGAACCGTGACAGCAATATACAACAAAAAAATGCAGCACTATGTGTATTATTAATATATATGTTATGTGTTGGTGCTTACTTTACTATTGGTGTAATACCAACAAGAACACCCCATAAAAAGAGAGAGTGAGGTTGAATGGGTACCTCTCCACCAATTACCCATATATCCCTCAAACCCAAATCTATTTTTTGTCCTTCACAAGTAATGGGTACTTATCTGGAAGCCTTTTACAGAATAGTTTATTCTGATTTATTAAGCTGTGTCACAATGCCCATAAAAATAAAAAGCACATCTCTAGTAATTTGAAACCCTATGAAACTATTGCTCTGAAAACTCTAATGAGGAACCTGACAAAATCAACTGACAAGGTGGTAGGGATTGTCCTTCAAAATAGGTCCAACTTTACATCTGAAGCCCGCAGACTATTATCTGACACTCACATTTATAAAAAGTTGATTAAGGATCCATTACCTGAGTTTAAAATAGAAGTTATAAAATATAAGTCTGAGGCCTCTTTTTGTGTAAGGAGTTCTACAAGATTCCTATTTTTATCATATACCCAAGATACATAAAAACCAGCATAATCCCCCAGGCAGACTGGTAGTCATCGCTACGGAGAGTATTTCGAGCAGCTTCTCAGAATATGTAGATTATTTTTACAGCCCCTCGCACAGAATCTACAATCATATATCAGAAATGGGACTCATTCATTAGAATTCCTTGCACCTTATACTTTGGAGCAAAACTACCTCTGGGTTTCATTAGATGTTAACTCTCTATATCAGCCATCATTAAATGGCGGACCACTGTCCTAAAACGGACCAAGCAATGCTTTCATCCAGCCCGCAAGTCTAGAATTTCAGCAGTTGGGTGCATTTTTTGTTAGGGGGCACTCTGATGAGCACATTTTATGTTGCGCCTATCAGAGTACCCTTTACCATAAAATATGCCCATCAGCATGCCTCTTAACATAAAATGTGCACATCAGAGTTCCCCTTAACATAAAATAAGGAGCACTCTGATGAGCACATTCTATGTTAAGGGGGCACTCTGATGGGCGCATATTGTTGAAAAGGGGCACTCTGGTGAGCACATGTGATGGAAAGGAGCTCTCTGATGAGGGAATATGATGAAAAAGGGCACTTTGATTGGGAACTTTGATGAGGACATCTGATGTAAAGGGACACTCTGATGGGGACACCTGATGTAAAGGGGCACTCTGATTGGGACATCTAAGGTAAAGGGGCACTCTGATGGGCACACCTGATGTGATGGGGACACCTGATGTAATGCACTCTGTTATGCACTCTGGTGGAGATAACTGATGTGAGGTGGCACTGTTATGGGGACATCTGATGTAAAGGGACACTCTGATGGAGACAAATAATGTAAAGGGGCACTCTGATGGGTGCACCTGATGTAAAGGAGCACTCTGGTGGGCACACCTGATGTGATGGAGACAAGTGATGTGATGGAGACACCTGATGTAAGGGGGCACTCTGATGTCATAGCCCAAACTTGAGAGTCAGACCTCAGCAGGAAGAAAATTTTAGTGACCGGATCTTCTTGAATTTTAATTCAATACCCCTGCTCTATATACATCTATTCCCCATAATATAGGCACAACCGCAAACAAGCCACCTCATTACGGATGCTACTTTATTTTGCCTGATACATAATTATTTCACTTTTGATGGGGAGTATTACCTACAAACCCATGGTACTGCTATGGGTGCTAATGTTGCACCTTCATATATAAACTTAACCATGGGTTTTTTGGGAAGATAAAAACATCTGCTGCACTAACCCTTTGCAGCCAATATCATCTTTTATAAATGCTTCATTGCTGTTATTCTAATCATCTGGGAGCGGTCTCCTGCCTCAGTTGATGAATTTGTCCCCTGCTGTAATAAGAATATACTTGGTCTTTCATTCACCTCAGTCAGAGATAGAGATGGGCAGCACAGTGGCTAAATGGTTAGCACTTCTGCCTGGCAGTACTAGGGTCGTTGGTTCGAATCCCAGCCACAGCACCCCCTGCCTGGAGTTTGCAATTTCTCCATGTGCCTGCGTGGGTTTCCTTCCACACTTCAAAGACATGCTGGTAGGTTACTTGGATCCTGTCTAAATTGGCTCTAATATGTGTATATATGAATGTAAGTTAGGGACCTTAGATTGTACACCCCTTGAGGGTTAGGGACTGATGTGAATGTACATTATATATGTGTAAAGCGCTGAGTAAATTGATGGCACTATATAAGTACCTGAAATAAATAAATAATACTCTAGCATTTTAAGATTGGGAAATGTACCATGAATGGCATACCATCTTTGTGAGGAATTACACCAAACCAACTGCTGGTAATTCTTTCGTATACTGCAAAAGTTGTCATCACCCTAGGGGTATCCTAGGGACAGTTTTGTTAATTAAGACAGAACTCTGCTAGGGATTCAGATTACATCACCCAAAGTGTCCTCCTAAAAAACTAATTTTCTGATAAGGAGTGTCCAGATGGGTTAGTGGACACAGCTTATTCCACATCTCTCAATGGCAAACCACTCAGTGCCTACAGAAAGGAAGGTGAATAGACCAACACCAAAAAATGGAATACCTTTTAAGAAAACTGGGCAATCCTTCTACAGGACTCCCATTTGCAGGACACCATTAACAATAAACCCAAAATAACTTGCAGGAGAGCACCCAATCTAAAAAACAAAATAGCACCTAGTAAATTATGGCTCTCCCCTTCTGACTGTACTAGGAATTCCCCATACCTTATCCTTCTTAAAGGCATGTACCAATGCTGAAAACAGCGCCTCCTAGTGCTATATATAAAATGTTAAAATTAATACCGTGGTAGTAGTAGTGATCTATCCACTTTGTAGATAGAGCAATACTAGTGCAGACATGGCCATCAGTTTTGATTATTCTAAGAAGACCTTGAAGTTAAGTTCTATATTTAAACCTTTTGGAATAAGTGTTTCTAAAGTGTATATCCCAAATTGTTCTTTCTGTAATAACAATTTATCAAAATCTACTCTCCTTGGAGAAATATTAAGAGCAAAAATTCCTTTAACTTTTAGATCTTCTGTTCTTCCATTGCGAGTTTCCCTAAAGTGTTGGGCCCAGGGATTTTCTCTACCATTTTCTTTAATCTTCTGTTTATTTCTTATATCTCTAAGGTGTTCACCTATACGAGTTCTTAGCTGTCTTTTGGTTTTCCCTATATAAAACTTTTTACAGGGACACTCAATCATATAGATAATCTTAGAGGTGGAACAGTTGTTAAAATTGCGAATTTCATAGGATTTATTTCTATTTGTATTTGAAAACTTTTCGTTTTTGTCCACATAGGGGCATATTTGACAATGCCCACTTGGGAACATACCTGTCATTGTGGATTTTTCAGTTAACCACTTATTTATTGAAGGTTTCTTAAATTCTGATTTTACTAATACATCATTTAGATTGGAGGCTCTACATGCTACCAGAAAGAAAGATTGAAGGATATTGGAAGGAAAATGTTACAAATATGGCTAACCAAGGCTTAGCATCCCTTAGAACTAGACTACAGAAACTTCCATCAGTGTCAGGGACAAGCAACAGGGATGGCCAAATCTGCATCACTGCACTAAGGGAACTCAAAAACCAGACTGTGTTTGCTTTAAGAAAGATTTATTTACAGTGAAACATAACCCATCCAAACAGCAGCAAGCAGGATACACAGCAAACATAAAGATACAAGTATCTTAAGTTTACAACATATACCAAATGACAAAATGCTTATCAAGCAACCTATGTAACAGAAAGCCTAACAAACTAACTATATACAATATATACACAATGGGGAACATGGATAAACAGGGTAAAACCAAAGATATAAGGAACAGTTAGGAAGGGGGAACCAAGAATTGGATCAGGAACAGAGTAGCAGGTACAAGGCAGCAGGGCACAGTATAAAGGTGCAATGCAAGAGCAAGCTTGTGCAGGAATCAAGCTCAGGATCAATAGCAAACAGTGTCTGGATAGCAGGGCAAAACACTGAAGCACAAGGTAATAATAGAGGAACTAAATACCTTCCCACAAGCCAGCATCAGGTGGTGACTGATTACTGAGGTCTGCTGGAAGACACGCACTGGTGGACACCAGAACTACAACCTTTCTTTCTGGGAAACAGTGCTAGCAGCATATTATCCAGGTCCTAACAAGCAGTGGTAATGCTGAGGTGTCCATGCTGCCACACCAGACCTACTTTTAACACTGTAAAAATCCCTTTGATGTCAATCTAGCTTTTGCCCAAAGGGTAAGGAAACTTTGTTTATACAATTTCTTACCCCTAAAATAAGTTAATTTCTAACAATATGTTCTTCAAATGTATTTTTATAGATGCGTGATGTGATTGGGGCAGCAACTTCAGGACAGAGCTATTACCGTTCTTGTGTTGACAAAACCATCTCATACATGAACACAAACAAAATCCCTAAACATGTTCAGAATCGTGTGCGGAGCTGGTATGAGTATACATGGGATTCACAAGGAATGCTTGGTATGTAATGAACTTATAGCATGTTTTGTTTGTTAATGGGATATAGCTTTCCAATATGCAATTGCTTTTTTTTTATGATATATAGTGTAGCAGAGTGTCTCTAAGGGAGCTGGGAAAAGTCCTGTTCGGGGGTTTATATATCTCCCAGGCTCCTTTCATTTACATTTAGGGATCGCTGATCCTCGGCCAAGTTCGGGTTTCACTCTTCTCCTGGAACCTGCAGTCAGAGCTCTCACTCCTGTGTAACAGACAAGTCCAGTCTGGGAGAACTGCAAGGTTGGTGTAAGCTGCAAAACTGCATTAGTGGAGACTGACAAGCATTAGGCATGATCAACCTGTTAGTCAGAATTTGTATTGGCTCAAGGATAGGATTCTATATTGTTGTTTTTGCCTTGTTTATTTTGTGGAACACTGTACAACACTTGTAAATAGACTGTAAATAGCACCAATATACACTGCACTGATTGTCACTACTTCACTGGACTGGTTCCTGTACCTAAAAGTGGGCTCACCCCAGGGGGATTTTGGACCTGCTACCTATTCCCAGCTCACATATGGTGGAGGATGCAGGCAGTTTATTTTGTTAGCAAGAAGCTACTACTTAAAGGGCCAATACCCGAAGTGACTGAACATGGAGGATTTCCGAAAACAGTTGATGTTGTCTAATGCTGCACAACAGCAAACAAATACTGTACTACAACAAGTCAGTGCAGTACAGGAGCAAATGCGGGTGCTGATTCAGGAGAATCAACAGCAGATCAAGGCTGTCCAGTAACAGACACAGATGCTGTTTGAAAAGTTAGTGACTGCTGCAGAAACTGACCCTAAGACCTTGGCAGAGATAATGTAAACGCTTGGACAGAGGAAACACTGCACTGATTGTCACTACCTCACTAGACTAGTTCTTGTACCTAAAAGTGGGCTCACCCCAAGGAACATTTGTACCTGCTACCTATCCCCAGCTCACAATAGTTTATTGAACATTAGCCACGGTCTACTGCCCATTCATTACATTACTTTAACAATTATTATCTAAACTAGAATCCAATTTGCATTAATGAAGTATTACCTGTATTTCATATAAATATTATCTAACCTTATTATTTATTTATAATACACTAACAGATGAGTCAGAGCTTTTGGAGGAAATGCCGACAAGAATGCAGCTGGCTATTGCAGTTGATGTCAACCTGGCTATTGTTAACAATGTGGAATTATTTAAAGTGAGTCTCTTACAGGATTTGAAAAATAGTGGTTTAAAAATTGTTACACTTCACAGAAAATAAACTGCATCAATGAGAAAAAACACTTTTAAATACCCAAATAGTGCAGCGCTACAAATCAATAAATAAAACACAAATAAATGCAAAACCCCCCAGTGCACACAGGGAGTAAAATATACACAGTGCAAAACGTGTAATCAAGTGTACATGTGACCAGTGTCCAATCCAACACTCGTGAGAATCACAATAATATATATCCACACAAAATTATATATAAAAATGTCCAATAGGGTGGTGCTCATCACAATAATATCCACACAACATTATATAAAAAGTCCAATCTTGGTGCTCAGAAAAAATGCTCATGCAGGTGCTGACATGTGATCACTCTTGTGCAAATCCTTAATGGCTGAAATACCTCGCAAGGAGGCATTTCCGGGTGCACGGTGACGTCACTTCTGGCGTGGGAGCCATATTTGAAAATCCTGTATTGTATACCCATGCAGTACAATTCCAGCATGTTGTAGATCTGCAGTGTCAGAGGCGAAGGAATATGTGAGTTGGCATTTTTATTTGTTTATACCCCAATGAAAAGGTTTTACACTGTGGAAGTTTTTTTTTGTTTATATATGGCCTGGAGAGGACATCATTGACAGGGCTGTATATGGGAAGATTGGAATACGTTGAAGTGGACTTGGCCAATAATCCTGTTACCATCCTGAGAGTTTATATCTCTGAGCGAGCTGACCCAGTAGGGTCGATACAAGGAGGTGAGGGGGCACTTCAGCCATTAAGATTTGCACAAGAGTGATCACGTCAGCACCTGCATGAGCATTTTTTCTGAGCACCAAGATTGGACTTTTTATATAATGTTGTGTGGATATTATTGTGATGAGCACCACTATTGGACATTTTTATACATAATTTTGTGTGTGGATATATATATTACTGTGATTCTCACAAGTGTTGGATTGGACACTGGTCACATGTACACTTGATTACACGTTTTGTACTGTGTATATTGTACTCACTGTGTGCACTGGGGGGTTTTGCATTTATTTGTGTTTTATTTATTGATTTGTAGCGCTGCACAATTTGTATATATATTTAGTCACTACGCTCATTTTGTCAAAGAGGTTAGTGCTAGCAGCTTGGGAGTTAGGACCCCATTTTGAGCGCAGGAGGATTTTTACCACTTTTAAATACCCACCTGACAATTCAGTGGGACACAGCACACCATTTGTGGGCATCAATACTCCTTGTTGAAATATGTATATGTAGTGCTTACCCTGGAGGAGCTACTGAATGTATTGGGTTCTCTGTTCTTGTGCCACGACCCTGTGAACAGCTCTATACTCTCTAACGCCTGGCTGGGTAGAAGATAACTTCAGACACCCATGCACACACAAAGACAAGTATCCCCACAGTTATGCAAAGGCACCAGAAACTGACATCAAGACACCAAACTGGTTGGTTGTCACGGGTTAAGGGTGAGAAATGATGAATGAAACAGTGGGTACGTTTTTGCTCTAAGCTGATTAACAGTTAGAAAGCATCAGGCTATAATAAAGCCCTGTACACACAGGCCGAATATCAATAGAAACCAGAAGACATTTGACCCGTGTGTACAACAGCCTATCCGACAGAAGCCGGCTTCTGTCGAACTGGTATACTGGAAAACCAGCATCTGATCAGTGCTGGCAGCCACTGGCTGCGAGCACTGAATGGTGTGTTCTGGCAGGGGGCAGTCCCTTTTTCAGAACACAGCAGTTCAGTGGGAAGATCGCTGTACTAACATCGGATAGTTAGTACAGCAAGCTCCTCCTGAGCTCTTCAGTTTTTTCATTCAGCCTGCTGGATTCTACAAAAAAAAAACCTGATAATGTGTGTCCAGCTTAACTCATATTTGGCAGTTATACCATACAAGTACATCAGATAAAGAATAACAGTAGCAATAAACAGCATCAAATGACAAGACAATGACTGAACATTTGACCTGTTTGGCAGCAATCAGAAAATGTTTAAAAGCTACACCTTTTTATTTAACCTATAAAGGGTGCCCTTGGCTAGGGAAAGACCTGTAGACAGCAGTCAGTAATTAATAGACTGCTTGCTCTCAACCTTCTGACGGCTGTTTGGTGTCGCCCAAACTTTATGTTGGAAATACTGTCCCTTTAAGGATTCTGCATGCAGTGGCGCTATAGAAATCATGTATAATAATATAATAATGTATAATAATAATAATGTTCCTAAATTACATAGTTAGTCAAAAGTCCATCCAGTTCAACCATAAAAGAAAAGTTATAATCCTACACACACAGTTGATCCAGAGGAAGGCAAAAAACCAGCAAAGCATGATCCAATTTGCTCCTGCAGGAGCAGAAATTCCTTCCTGATCTCCCGAGAGGCAATCGGATATTCCCTGGATCAACTTTACCTATAAATGTTAGTAACCAGTTATATTCTGTGTATCTAAGAAACAGGGGTGGACTGACAACTCATGGGGCCCCCGGGCAATAGGGGATCATGGGGCCCCTGTGTCCTTGCCCAAACTCAAAAAAGCCTATGAAAAAGGTACCAGGGGCATCTCATGGGGCCCCCTACTGACCCTGGGCCCTTGGGCAGTGCCCGAGTTTCCAAATGGTCAGTCTGCCCCTGCTAAGAAACAATCCAAGACTTTTTTAAAGCAATCCACTGAGCTGGCCAGAACCAACTCTTGAGGCAGTTAATCTCAGTCTGCTAGCGGTAGTGTAAAGCCAACCAGCGGTCGTTCAACAGTCCTATGTGCACAGCAATGTTGTTGCTCCAGATGTTTGGCAACCAGAAACTCCTCTTCCTCAGCGTAGTTTCCCTCTCTGAATAACAAGCTCCCAGCAGTCTAGGTCACAGTTTCAGACTCAAGGATGATGGCCATCTGCTTTTATTGCACATGACCAGGTTAAAGTGTGCACTGTCTCAGTCCTCCCACAGAATAGGGCTGTCCTTCCTTACTCTGCCCAGGAAAACTATTTCTGGCTCCTCCCTTGTTATCCCCACTCTTGGGAACCGAAGTCACGCCCCCATCTGCTACAATAGCCAAGTGCCTCCAGTGAACTCACTGTCCCACAATCCAATCCATCAGAGTCTTGTGTCCCACATCTGTCCACACATCGTGTCCCACAGGCTCCCTCTACTGGATGTAAGTGGAACAGCACTGAAAAGATCAGCGTAGAAGTCCTGTGTGAACACATAGAGAAGCTGCAGCATGGTGTCTCTGTAGTAGTTTTTTTTTCTTGCCAGCTAAGCACCTGACTACATATACATACAGTCATGGCCAAAAATATTGGCACCCCTGCATTTCTGTCAGAAGATGTACCATTTCACCCAGAAAATTGTTGCAATTAAAAATGTTTAGGCATTCTCATGTTTATTTCTTCTGTTTGCATTAGTATGACACAAAAAAGTGGAAAAACAAAAAGCCAAATCTGACACATTCCACGCAAAACCCCAAAAATGGACTGGACAAAATTATTGGCACCTTCTCAAAATTGTAAGAAATAATTGCATTCCAAGTTTGTGATGCTCCTGTCATTTATAATTAAACTCACCTGTATAAATTAACAGATCCTAATGTTCCTGTGTCCACTGTGCGCAACATTGTCAAGAAGTTTACATCCCTGGATGCTAATCTCACTGGATGTGGACAAAAGAGAAAAACTTGATCAAAGATTGCAACAATCGAGTTTGCCAAAACTTACCTGAGTTAACCAAAATCCTTGTGGGAGAATGTGCTGTGGACAGACGAAATAAAATTACTGCTTTTTGGTAAAGCCCATCATTCTACTGTTTTCAGAAAAAGAAATGAGGCCTTTAAAGAAAATAATACAGTACCTATGGTCAAACATGGTAGAGGGTCACTGATGTTTTGGGATTGCTTTGCTGCTTCAGGCACTGGATGTCTTGACCATGTGCATGGCATTATGAAATCTGAAGACTACCAAAGAATTCTGGGGTGCAATGTAAGGCCCAATGTCAGAAAGTTGGGTCTCCATCAGAGGTCATGGGTCTTACAGCAGGACAATGACCAAAAGCACATCAGAAAGCATCCAGAAATGGTTTCAGACAAAGCACTGGAGAGTACTGAACTGGCCAGCAATTAGTCCAGATCTCAATCCCATAGAGCATTCATGGAGAGATCTCAAAACAGCAGTTGGGAAAAGGAAACCTTCCAATCTGAGAGACCTGGAGCAGTTGGCAAAAGAAGAGTGGTCCGAAATTGCAGCAGAGAGATGTAAGAAACTGAATGATGGTTACAGAAAGCGATTGATTTCAGTTAATTTTTCCAAAAGGTGTGCTACAAAATATTAAATTGTGGGTGCCAACAATTTTGTCCAGTCCATTTTTGAGGTTTTGCATGGAATGTGTCAGATTTGGCTTTTTGTTTCTCTACTTTTTAATGTCATACCAAAAGAAATAAACATAAGAATGCCTAAACATATTTTGTAATTGCAACAATTTTCTGGCCAACGTGGTGCATTTTCTGACAGAAATGCAGGGGTGCCAATATTTTTGGCCGTGAATGTATATATTTTTGTTTACTGTTTAGTGATTGTTTTTTTTTTTTTTAAGTTTACAATACAAAGAGTTTTGGCCTTGTAGTTAACCAATGATCAAAATATACAAAATGGGAGCAATTGAAAAGTATAGGGAAGTACATATTAGGAAAAGGTCCAAAAAACTGTAGCAAATACAAATTCGTATATATAAAAAGGAAAAAAAACATTCATGGGTTCCGTCAAAGTCGAACATAAAGTCATAAAGAAAAAGAACAAAAGTATCTTGTAGACACTTGTGTTCAAAATAGATGTAACACAATTTTCAGTCTGGAGATGGTAAACGATATAGATACCAAGGGTTCCACTTTGCATCGAATTTGCTTTAGAAGTATGTAAAAAATGGAAAATTTGGTCCATCAACATTATTGACATCTGTTCTAAAAAACACTTGGGATTTTTGAATACTTTCAGTAGCTGGCGATAACCCAATGCATTGCAACACAGAGAGTATGAATCACTTGTTCCATGGGTTTCGGAAGGTCAGGTATATGAGAATATAATAGACAGTTACCTGTACTTAAAAGAATCTGTTTTCCAGCTAATTGAGAGGCTTATACATACATTATATATATATATATATATATGATATTTGTTTTAATCAATACTTAACAATCATAGAGATTTGTATACTAGATGGTATTGACTTTTCCCTCATTTATCTTCCAGGGTTGTGATGCCCAGATGATTCATGACTTGCTGTTGAGGTTGAAGTCCATTGTCTACTTACCAGGTGACTTTGTATGCAAAAAGGTAACTGATTCTTTCAATTTATTCTTTTATGGTAATAATAAGCTGGTCCCACAGTAATAGTACAGAGACTCTTAGGTTTATACATATATTCTTTATATATAATATATTCTATATATACTCTTTATATACATTTTCTTTGTTACATAGTTACATAGTTAGTCTGGCTGAAAAAAGACAAAAATCCATCCAGTTCAACCATTAAAAAAAAAAAATAGTTATAATCTTATACCCACAGTTGATCCAGAGGAAGGCAAAAAAAGCCCAGCAAAGCATGATCCAATTTGCTCCTGCAGGGAAAAAAATTCCTTCCTGATCCCCCCGAGAGGTAATTGAATATTCCCTGGATCAACTTTACCTATAAATGTTAGCATCCAATTATATTCTGTGTATCTAAGAAAGAATCCAGGCCTTTTTTAAAGCAATCCACTGAGCTGGCCAGAACCAACTCTTGAGGGAGTCTATTCCACATTTTCACAGCTCTCACTGTGAAGAAACCTTTCTGTGTTTGGAGATTAAATCTCTTTTCCTCCAGATATAAAGAGTGCCCCCTTGTCCTCTGTGATGACCTCAGGGTGACTAACTCTACACTGAGTTCCCTATATGAACCACTGATGTATTTATACATGTTGATCATATCCCTCCTTAATCTCCTCTTCTCAAGAGAGAATACATTCAGTTCCTCTAATCTTTCCTCATAGCTGAGCTCCTCCATGCCTCGTATCAGTTTTGTTGCCCTTCTCTGTACTTTCTCCAGTTCCCCAATGTTCTTTTTATGAATTGGTGCCCAAAACTGAACTGCATATTCCAGATGAGGTGTTACTAATGATTTGTACAGGGGTAATATAATATCTCTCTATCTGGAGTCTATACCTTTTTTAATACAAAAGATGATTTTGCTCGCTTTAGAAACCGCAGCTTGGCATTGCATGCCATTATTAAGCTTGTGATCTACCAGAACTCCCAGATCCTTCTCCACCACTGAATCCCCCAGTTGTACCCCCCCCTAGTATGTATGATGCATGCATATTCTTAGCCTCCAAGTGCATAACCTTACATTTATCAACATTAAACCTCATTTGCCACATAGTTGCCCAATTACACAGTGCATTGAGGTCGGCTTGTAAGTTGAAGACATCCTGTAAGGACGTTATTCCACTGCACAGCTTGGTGTCATCTGCAAAGACTGAAATGGGATTCTTAATACCAGACCCTATATCTTTTATAAATGTATTAAAAAGTAAGGGTCCCAACACTGAACCTTGGGGTACACCACTGATGACCCTAGACCAGGGGTGGGCAAACTTTTTGACTTGAGGGCCGCAATGGGTTCATATATTGGACCCGGGGGCCGGACCAAGAGTAGATGAACGATGTGTATGTGTCATCCATAGTAAGTATAGTAATATTCCCCCATAGTAAGCATAGTAATTAATCCCCCATATAGTAATTCATCCCCCATAATTTAATTCATCCCCCATATAGTAATTCATCCCCCATATAGTAATTCATCCCCCATATAGTAATTCATCCCCCATATAGTAATTCATCCCCCATATAGTAATTCATCCCCCATGTAGTAATTCATCCCCCATGTAGTAATTCATCCCCCATATAGTAATTCATCCCCCCTATAGTAATTCATCCCCCATATAGTAATTCATCCCCCATATAGTAATTCATCCCCCATAGTAATTCATCCCCCATATAGTAATTCATCCCCCATAGTAATTCATCCCCCATGTAGTAATTCATCCCCCATGTAGTAATTCATCCCCCATATAGTAATTCATCCCCCCTATAGTAATTCATCCCCCATATAGTAATTCATCCCCCATATAGTAATTCATCCCCCATAGTAATTCATCCCCCATATAGTAATTCATCCCCCATAGTAATTCATTCCCCATATTAATTCATCCCCCATATAGTAATTTATCCCCCATAGTAATTAATCCCCCATATAGTAATTCATCCCCCATAGTAATTCATCCCCCATATAGTAATTCATCCCCCATATAGTAATTCATCCCCCATATAGTAATTCATCCCCCCTATAGTAATTCATCCCCCCTATAGTAATTCATTCCCCATATTAATTCATCCCCCATATTAAGTCCCCCCTGTGTCAATTCACTTACCTTTGCTCCGCGCGTTCCTCTCGCCGTATTCCCGCGCCGTTCCGGTGTAGCATGAAAATCTGTCTCCTATGAGGATCTGTCCTCCTCGACGTATCTGCGCATGTGCCAGTTTCAGGCAATAGCAGC